ACGTGTGCTCTTCCGATCTATTTCCGGATTTTCCAGGAATTTTATTCAAAATTCCAGGTAAGATTAAAGAATTTCTCAATACAGCTTTAAAATAAATTAGGCACTAAAAGTTTTAATAACGTATAGAACTTGATGCGTAAAATAATTTAATCTCCTCATATGTACAATAGTTACATCTCCATACACAATTTTTCGAACGTAACGAAAGATTTTGTATGGAGATGTAACTACGTGAAGATTAAATTGTTTCACGCACCAAGTTTTGCGTTATCAGATTCTTAATGCCTGATTTATTTTTTCCGGTTTATCGTTTTTTAGATTAAAGAGTCTTTATATAGTATATGTCAATTTTAAAATAAATTAACTGTCAATATCAGGGGCCTTCGATACGGAGCCACGTTTACTTTCTAAAGGGATAAAATTAAAAGTAAAATTCAACAAATTTCCCTGAGTATCAGTAAAATTCCATGAGAATCCATGATTTTCAAGGGTAAAAATGCAATTTCCTGAGAATTCCAGGTTTTCCCGGTTTTTCCCGGTAGTACCCACCCTGTCTAAGTTATAGCGAAACAAGATAGTTGTTTTATTTTCTTATCTTAAAAAAAGATTTCTTATACCCATTATCATTTTCCATGCTAAAGTTTCTATGATTTGTAAATTAAGCATCACGTACGACTTTCGAAGTTTTAGTAGCGCTTCTTGCCTAATTGTTTTATTAAATACGATTTTTAGAGATTGAAAGATCTCTACTTTCTTTATATTTGTCGAATTTAAAAGTAATACTCGATCGCCACTGACCTCTTCTCTCACTTCCGCTAGGGTGCACAGATGTACATAGTATCCCCTATTGGCGCAAGCCATCCACTGCACTTCCCGCACATCTGCAACCTCTCGGCCGATAAGATAAGTGAATACTCTGACAGGCATATCAGCCTTCAACGGCTCGTCCGGATTATCCTTCCAGTTGTACGCTTCAAAGATCTCCTTGTAGTTGTACGGTACGCCATCGGTGATCAGCATGATTGCCTGATTGCATTTAGCACCTTCCCGCTCGTTGCGGAATGTTTCGAGCAACTCAAAGGCGGTTGTTAGAGCCAGAGAAAAATTGGCGATTCTCTCCGTCTCAAGATTCGAAATGGCTCGCTTTAGCTCGCGCACATTCGCCAGATTTGCCTGGACCAGAGTGTCATTGAAGCACGACACCACCTGCAAATTTACCAATCAATTAATAATTCTACTAATTTAATTTTTAATCTCTCTCTCTCTCTCTCTCTCTCTCTCTCTCTCTCTCTCTCTCTCTCTCTCTCTCTCTCTCTCTCTCTCTCTCTCCCTCCCTCCCTCTAGACTGACAAATTCAATTCTTTCGGGATTGATTCTTACTTGTTTAGTCTCGTTGGAGAATGTAATAATGTTGACGAAGTCATTGTTACCGAGGGTATCGAGGATATTATTGATCACGTGCTTGGCGATCTCCCGCCGTATACCAGTCATGCTACCGGACGTGTCCATCAGGATGAGAACATCCTTCGGACTAGTGGCCGCTTCGATGTACCAGCTCCTCGTTCTGCAATCGAACAGATCCACCGTCTCCATGTACCAATTCGTAGCAGGATATTGACGCATGAAACCGGTCGCGCTACCGAAGTATTGCCAGGACAAGGATGGGTCTTGCTCAAAATTGTTGATGAAAGTACGGTCGAGTTCCTCGGACCACTTGATCGCACGGATGACTTTCGAGGCGCGCTTATACACGTTTGTGGGCACGTGTACCGCTGACATATTGAGATTCACATCGCCACGGAAGTGAGAACTGTACTCGAAATTAATGGTGTTATTCTTCGCGTCGATGAACTCGTAGCTTTCTGGCGGGTCTATGTCGGGGGACGATAACGCCTTCGTTTCAGCCACGTCCATTATCCTCTGAAAGCGAAAACAAAATCGCCTGATATAGTCTAAATAATTTCAATTTACAACTGCGATTTAAATAAAACAATGTACTCGATAGCGATAAAGAAAATTGTTCGCTGTTATTAAGGATTTCATAACACAAATGAAATGAAATAAAAGAATCGCACCTTAATAGCCGAGATCTTGGAATCCATCATGTTGCTGATGTCCCTGGCAATCTCGTGGACGAGAGCGTTTCCATCACGTGGCGTGATGTCCGCCGTCTTATAGCTATCCTCGAACTTCTCCACCTTCGTCACGAACTTGCTCAACTGCGACAGCTCGAAGCCTAGCTTGTACGCCCATCCTTTCACTTTGTCTCTGCCAATTATAAAAGTAAAATTATAAAAGTAAAATAATGATTAAAAATGATAATAGTGATAGTAGTAATAATTTTTATAGAAAAGTCTAAAATTGTCGCTTTCTTACTTTTATTTTATTTATAAAAAATCAGTACCGTCTTATTATTTTTGCTCGCTAGTTTCTGTTCACATCGTGGAATTGGCGTTATAATTTGACAATAATCAATTTATAACACTTTAGTCGAATATAATAAAATGCAAATGAGAGCAATTTGTTCAGCTTGTCAGTGAATAATTTGATTGGTTGCATTGAAGTCTGATGAAACAAAGTAAACAGTAAACTTATTCATGAAAAAAAAAATCCATTCTTCAAAGTAAAATGACGAATGATGAATCACAACTTTTGTCCACGAATAAACGAAAGAAGTTATTCTTTCTTTGAAAAAAAAAATATATATCGCGTATAAATTTGAAAGTACATAATAATCCAGTTCATATTTAACGCTCAATAATAACGTAATAAATCCTCGTGAAACATGTAATAAATATTTACTAAACAATTTTCGTAATATTTATTTTTCTCTTTCCGAAAGTACATGTTTTATGGAACATGCCGTCATCGCAACGATTCCATTAAGGGACGTAGATGACTTCTTTCATGACTGACCTAAATATCACTTATCGCCTCACCATCGCATATGAATACGGGTCAATCGAGATTGTGTTATTGCCACGGAACTCCGTAAACACCGTATTGCAAGAGATTGCAGAAACGGAGGTAGGCAGACGATTGTGTCAAGCCACTTACATATCATGGGTAGGATTGCTGTCGCTACGGCCTCGAATATCGGGTGCCACGATCAGGATCAGGACGACGACGACGACAGGTATGAAGCAGGGCCTCATAACTTTCCCTGACCACCTGCTGGCCCGCTTGGTCCACTCCTTGGGGGTTGTTCGTGTGCGAGGGCACGGTAAATAAAATTGAAGCTCGCGTTTCACATCAAGAATGCCCCTACGGTCGTTCTGCTCGACGTCGATCGTCGCCGTCGTCGTATGCGCACTCACTGCCTTGGTGGCGACTCACGCGGGGCCTACAGCAGCTCGCTCCGATGCCTATAAGTGCTTTTCAGGCTTATCGATCTTCCGGCCAGGCTTGCGCACGGGGAAACACGAGCAAGCGACGCGCGACCACGCCAACTGTCGAGCTAGGATCAGAATTAATTGGAATGTTTATCTTTTGATTTTGCGTTCAATTACTGGGAAAGTGGGATGATTTAGGCTTATCGTTACAGGATCCTGATTATTTAATCAGGATATAAGACTTACTATATTGCTAAATTCGATTGTTTCAAACGATTTGTTAGTTAGTTAAAATCGTTTATTAGTTAAAATTAAAGATATCGGTGCATCTTTGATGTATACTAAGTACTTCATGTATATTTTTTATAAGCGTTATATCATAATGCATGAGAATTATTCTCCATCTTTCCAACTTTGGATGTAATACAAGCCACGATATGGATTATTTTCTTGAATAAAAGATCTGTGGAAAAAAGTAGGAGAAAATTCAGTTTTAAAATATTATTTATTTATTTCGTATTTAAATATTATTAAGTGTAAATATATAATAGTTATGTAATACGTAAAAAAACGTTAAAAAACGTTTTTTTTCTCGTTAATTATCGTACATAAACTTACACATATCATAAAAAAAAGATATTAAATTAACAAACAAAAACAAAATATAATAAAAATAGAATATCTGCATATACTTTCTTATTTAAATATTGTATATTAAAAGAGGTACGCTACTAATTTCTGTGAAACTATATTCAAAATCGAAATAAATATTTATCTATTTTAAACAAGCGCTGTTTAAAATTCTACGTTATAAAGAATTATTTATATATTTATTTTTCATTAAATAATTTAAAAAGTAATAATTTGGGAAGAAACGTTATTTCATGTCATTTTATTCATCTTTTATTATATATTATATTATTTATTGTAAAACAATACAATTACCATACGTATTAAGGACGATTAATTTGTCTCGTCACACAAAGGCAAATAGAATCCTAGCGACAGTAACATACAACAGCGATAAGGACACCATCAATTCAGATGCTCCGCAGCCATAAGTCTCACGCTCCAGAGGATGTTCCGTGAAGCAACTCTTCAATCTGCGCCTCTTCAGACTGTTCAATGGGATCTTGTGACAGGGTTTGTCGCCCGTGCTATTTGTGTACTCGAGGGGTGAGATGTTGACGGGTGTTACTTCTAATCTTCTGTAGCACGTTGGGAACATGTTGTCCACCACAACTAACAATAGATTAGTGTGTGCAACCTGTAAATTATCACAGGTAATTATTTGTTTTTCTAAAAACTACCCGTGATTGTTGTTACACATATAATTTATGCCATACATATATATCTTTGCATAAAATTTTTTATCAAATTCACCTAATTTCATATAAATATGTTAAGAGTGGTTTTTTCAGGTTTGCCGGCCGTAAAAGCCGGCCCGTTTTCATGATTTTTTTAAATGAAATCTATTATATATAGTAAAACGTGGATTTTTGCATAAACTTATACAGGATGTCCCCATATAAGTGGCCACCCCTTTTTATCTCGTAAATTAATAGAAATAGACCTAATAAATATGATATCAAATTAAACGGCTCTAACTAAACTTTATTGTAAGCACAGTGATCACTTAGAAATATTATCTATGTTAGAGAGCGGAAAGACATGATTAATTTTTGCACGGTAAAGGGACAATTTTAATGATAAAAGTTGTAGCGTTCTTTTTAACAAATCTAACAATGTGTGATATAACGACATTATTTTACAAATTATACAAATTATTTTGGTTTAAAGTTTTGCTGGCGACTGTTACCTTTTCAGTTTCGGCCCTGAGGTATGGCCAACTTCCGACTCTCGCACTGACGTGAGTATTATGATCAAATAAAAACATTACACATCAATTGTCAACGCGAAAGTCGCTATATCACACATCGTTGGATTCGTTAAAAAGAACGCTACAACTTTTATCATATTAAAATTGTCCCTTTACCGTACAAAAATTAATCATGTCTTTCCACTCTCTAACATAGATAATATTTCTAAGCTAATAGATAGCTCAATATTATCAAATGTAACCGAAATGTACCGAAGTTAGTGGTTTGATCCCATGTGATCCCCTTACGTCGAATATACTATCCCTCTTGCTTTTCTAACCAGCAAACACTCCGTCCATATATACATATATACATATTCCTATACATTCATGGGTGAGACATATTCTCTTTCTCTCTTGCACTCTTATTTCTCTTTCGCGGGATTTGGAGAAAAGATGCAGGTGTCACTTCTCATATGGCACCACTCTGAATAGAGGATTAATTACAATCCGTCACATCTATAAATTTCATTTCGTTGTGGTATGCAACATATATGCAACGATATATACATATGACACATATGTTTGAATCCAAGCATCTGCACTTATATATGTTTCTGTTACTCACAGAAACCTGCAGAATACAGTTTTGCTGAGCTATTTCATGCACGCGACTTTCGTTTAGACTTATTTGTACATTTGACTGGTTTTTTAAGCTTTATCTGTTTGATTAGTTTTTCTATAATTTTTGACGAAATGATTTAACTGTTTACATCGGTTTACTTCATATTTGAGTTATTTTTGTCCATTCGTCGCATCCGTTATGACTGTATGTGTTTCTTTCGACTTTTAAATTTTTAGCGACACTAGCATTACACGCGTGCTCTTTGCACGTGCTTTTTCATATTTCTTACTTCTTACTATTTGCTATTATACTATCAATCTCTGTACATACATAACAACTGTCAAAATGCAATGATAGCCGTTCACGATCAAGTAAGCGCAGCAAGAGAACCAATCAGCATCGTGGAAAAACGACAACAATAAACTGCGATAGATTGAGTATTTACTTAACCAAGGTGTAGAGGAGCCAGCTAAGAATGCGTGAGCATATAAACAAAAGACAGAAAACGAGACGTCCATCTGCATCCTTGTTGCAACATTAGACTAGGAAACAGATGGCTTTCTTATTTTCTTTCACTTTTTATTAGTTCACGTTTCCACTGAAAAAAGCCGCTATACCTCTTCTACTCTATGTATATAATCTCTTTGGACTTAACACATCTTTTTTAGAAATGGAGGATGAGCATGGCGGTTGTTTCGCCATTATCATCTTTGCCATGCGTGATTCCATTGTCTTGAGACTGGTGTTTGAAACTGTAGAATTTTCATATTAATCCAATATTGTCATGAATTGAGCAGACTGCTTTATCGACCTCGTACAAATTTGGCCGACCTTTCAGCATCCTCTTAAGGCGATGCTGGAAGATCGGAAAAATTTGCACGAGGTCGATAACACTGTTAACCAAATCTAGTAGTAGTAGTAGTAGTAGTAGTAGTAAAGAAATCGGGTGGGCCTGCGAAAGGCCCTAACGTCACTTAGATTTTTATAGTACCACTAACTCCCCGTTTGTTTCCAAGGTTATTGTAGCAGCCCTAGGCTGGCGTCTGTCGCCAGTCTTATAAGGCTGCTCACCTTCTTGTCTTCAAGATCCTTGGGCTTTATGAACATGTCGTCCCAGGATCTATATCTCTTGCAGACAAGTGCGGGGCAATGACACAGAATGTATATGCTGTCCTCTCCGCATAATCTGCACTCTTTTTGCGTGGTAGTTCCGAGGTTGTATAGGTGACCTCTGAGGGCCATATGGCCCATGAGTAGGCCCACATCAACTCGCCTTGGTTCTGCTCATTGATAGCAGTTCGTTTGCTCTGCTTCGCAGAGGGAGGCTCATTAGCTGTTTGGATGTTCTACAGCCGCTGATCGCTTGCCAGGATTTTACGTGCCCGCTTTCGAGTCAGCTTTTGATGGCCTTCTAACCAAATCTAAGACAAAGGCAAATTATGTTAAGCATCTGCAATAAATTTTCTCAGCAAAAAAGCGATAAAATTCGATAATTAAATAAGTGTTCGCAACGCAATAGCAAAAATGTAACAAAATTTGCTACTCGTAAAATGACAGTAAATCGGTGATAAAATACGGGCAAATATATTTTATTATCAGACAGCAGATTGTCATAAAAAACCGAGCAAGATTTACGAAGCGCTATCTGTCAACAAATTGTCTCCAAAAACTGAGCATGCTTTGTATAGCGTTGTCTGACGACCAAAAACTGTGCAATCGAGTAGAATTTCCGCTGCCACTGAATACTTTATACAAAACGGCCGCTAGGTAGTGTTTGTTGATATCTGTTTCTCGCATTTAAACTTTGTCGAGCTGTTCTATATAATTAATGTTTAATCAAAATTCGGACATGTCATAATTATTTGTGCATTATTCATGTATACACTTAGTGCAAGATATGAATGTTTTTGCAATGTATTAGCTAATAATGAGTATATAAAGTACTTAAAAATGGTTCCTGGGAGAAAGGCAAAGATACTTTTGTGATATCTTTAGATTAAAATGTTCTTAGAATTGAATGCTTTAATTATGTATAATAAAATATATTAATTTTTATTAATAAAACAGTTTCAAATTATTCCTTTAAAATAAAATTTAAAAAAATAAAAACGTCATTTTTAAAGATTTTTAAATATCAATTACGTCCAATTTGTTGTCAGACAACGCTACGAAAAACTTGCTTAGTTTCCGTCAATTTATCTTTATATGTATAACGTTGCGCAGACCTCGATTTTTGCTGACAATTTGTTATCAGATAGCGCTACGTAAATCTTGCTCAGTTTTTGGTGACAATTTGCTTTCACTTTACAAGCAGCAAGTTTTGCTAACAAAACATGAGCCTGATGATGACACAGATGGCACCGGTTTTGGTATAAGTTCTGATTAAATTTGCTGTCAATTTGCAAACATATTGCTATTATTTTGCTTAGAGGAGTAAAGCAGTCTCTTCAGTATCAGTGGTATCTCTAAATAAACTTTTTACAATATCTTCTGGTCTCACTCAAACACGTGGATTCTCTTTATCTAACTTATTGAAGTGCCATTTCTTGGAA